GGGGTCTAGATATTACAATGTGAAATACGGATGTGAAATGATACTGGTGAAATGAAATTAGTAGGTAATGGGAAGCGGTCGGAGTCCGGTGGGTAGTGATTGGATTCGTGGTTGGTTGAGGTGACACAGAGGCCGGCGGCATGCACATAACAGTGGTCCCAACCATCCACTTGAAGGCCCTGAGAAACAATGGAGGGAGCTGTCATCGGCAATGGGGCTTCCCAGCAGAGAAACCATCTTCCATATGATGTGACTATTCTTGACAGTCCAGCCTTGGGTGAGTGCGACAGGATTGTCTTCCATTGGCATGGGTTTTTTAGGTTCTTTGCTGCCTTCAGCTTCGTCTGATGGGGGTTGTCCAGTGAATGGTCACTGAACTGGCAGTCTCTATGGGTTTGGGTATTTTAGCTTTTCTTCAGAAGGCCAAGATGTCATGCTGCTTCTAGAAGAAGAGTCAATCCTCCAGAGTGGTGGAGTACTTGCTGGGAACAGCAAGTATTCATCTTCTGATAGTACCAGAGGCATCCCTGATACTAGTGCCTTCTCACTCCTAGGGATCAGTTGGGGTTTTGGTTGATTTCTTAGGTATCATCCCATCCTGGCCTCCCTCTTCAGTTCCTCTTCATTCACAAGCTTCACCCAGCGATTACTTGCAAAGAGAATGATTTCCTCTTCTTCAATTTCTTCATCCTCCCTCAGGCCAGTATCAGCTCTGAGAATCATCAGAGTCCTTTCAATATGGGATCTCCCAGGAGGGTAGATCTCATACCCTCTTGGTCTCGGCATTCTGCTGCCACTCTCTTTCTTCTTCCATTCACTTGGTGTAATTTTGGAATTCCTTATAGAAGTCTGCATTGAGGAAGAGAGTGGTGAGCTTCTTGTGCAAGAACTTATGAAGGGTTTGATTGCTGATCTGAGGTACTGATGGCCTTTGGGCCTTGATGATCCAGTCAAAGGACTCATCATCAGCCAGGATGCCACTACTTCCTGAGCTGCTGGATTAGGGTCTGTCTGGACTGCTTTCTCCTTTTTCAGTGGTGTTGTTCCACCAATTAATCCCATAAGGGTCATCTTTGGGATCTTCATTCCATTCGGTGTCTGGAAACCACTTTCTTCCTCAAGCTGACAGGAGTCCTCCTGTCTCTGTGTCTCTGTTGTTAGTGCCTGATTGTCTATCAGCATCTTGATCCTGATCGTTTCCTGGTTCTTTCTAGTGATCTGAGGCATAGAGATTGTCTTCAGGATTTTTATCCTATTCTGTGCCTGCAGGCCATTCTCAGCCCTAGGTAGGGTGGGTTGATGGGGAGGGTCCCCTCTTTGCTGGTCAGCTAATTCCAGCCAACTGTCAGTGCTCTTTATCGAGCTTGTTTTCCCATTGCTGTCTGAGCTCAACCTCCTCTTCTTTCACCAGTTCATCAGTGGTGTCAGTGTCAGGGGTCAGGAGGCATGGAGAACTGTGGAGAGGTTCTTCTTCTGCTTGGAGAGGATCTGATTGGCTTATGCTTTTAGATCCTTGTCTGGATCTGATTCCTGTGATTCAGGTCTCAGTAACAAGACCATTGAGGAATTGGTCAAAGGTGACATTATGGGTTTGATGTTCTCTGATTATATTAGTTGTGAGGGTTCCTAGTAGAAGAGTCAGCAATTCAATGGAGGAAGGGGGTACTTCAGAGTTGATAGAGCTGATATTGGAAGACCTATAATTTTTTGTCCTGTGGGTCAAGAAGAGGATGATGAAAAGCATTCAGTTCTTTTAGCTTTTTAGGCTTGAAGAAGGAAAGCTAGAAGCTTCAAGCTAATTGTTAAGCTCAAACTCCATATGACTATCAACATGTGATAAACAGTTTAGAACCTCACACTTCAGATTAGACTGACTGAGTTCACTGATGTGTCAATAGAGGTGTGTGGTCAAGGCATTGCAAGTCACTCGAGATAAGATGGTAGAGAATAAACTTTAGCTCAAAGCTGAGGTATTATAGTGAGAGCTATGCTACTTAAATACTATTCTGTTATTTAACTATAAATAGGGGTTCACAAAAGATGTTGTCTCTTGCAGAGCTGTTGCTGCTGCAGTTGCCAAGCTCTCCACAAAAGCTGTTGTCTTGCTGTTATGCTATTACTGCTATGCTGCAGTTTGAGAACAAAAGGAGTATTGTCTCTCCCTCCATAGCACACAGCAGTGTGATAAGACCATGACTGACTGGGCTGCTGACTAAGCCTTCCCATGGTCCTAAGTGCTGGCCTAAGTGCCCTGACTAAGCAAAGATAGGAGTCATTTCCAAGGAAAAAGAAAAGAAAATGAGAAAAAATCATAACACTAATACTTATTATACTAGCTGTTGGTGTTCCTCTTTGGTCTTAAATATGATGAGAATATCATCCAAGTAGATCATAACCTTTTCAGTGGGAATGAGATCTTTGAATATATCATTCATCATCTATTGAAAGATTGCTGATGAATTGGTGAGGCTAAAAAATATAACTGTAGGCTCAAATAGTCTTCAATTAGTGTGAAAGATGGCCTTCCATTCATCTCCTTCCTTTATTTATACATTGTTGTAGCCCCATCAGACATTCAGTTTGATGTAGTATTAGATGCCATAGAGTTTGTCTATGAGTTCAGAGATTAACAGAAGCAGATAATAATTCTTGATTGTCATCTTGTTGAGCTTTTAGTAATCCTGTATCAGTTGAAGTTTACTATTCTTCTTCTTGACAAAGAAGAAGAGGGAGGCCATTGGAAACTTTGATGGCCAGATTCATCTACTGGATAAGTTCTCATCCAAGAACTTATTGAGCTCCTGTTATTCATTGTTGCCAAGTGGATATGTTTTACAGTCCAGATTGGCATTGACATTGGGGATTAGTTCAATTGCATGATCCTAGAGTTTTGGGTCTGATAACTTATCAAAACTTTCTTTGTTGAATAAATCTCAGTAGTCTCATGCCTATTCAGATATTATTTTTTCAAATGTTCATTTCTTCTTTTCTGCATTGGTCTTTACTGCCAAGTCATTAGCATGATGCATGGCACAAATGTGTATGGCTTTCTGCAGGTCCACAGTGAGAATTATTTTGCCATTCTCTATATTAAGCCCAAATTCCATGTGACCAATAGCATGTGATAAACTAATAGAACCTTGCACTTCAGGTTGACTATTAGAGTTCACTGATACACTATCAGAGTTGTGTGATCAAGGTGGTTGCAAGTTGCTTGAGAGTAGATGGTAAAGAATAAACTTTAGCTTGAAGCTAAAGTTACTACAGTAAAAGCTACACTACTTAAATACTAAATCCTTATCATTCTAAGAATATAACTATCTAATTGTCTTTGCTGGTGCTGTATAGCATTTTGTCCAGCATCACTAAGAGACCTACAAAAGATATTGTCCTGCTGTTATGCTGTTACTGCTGTTACTGCTATACAAAGATAAAAGAGACTTCTCTGTCATTGTGCTGTTGTGTGACTTCACAGCAGTGACCAGGATTGGGGTAATGCTGCTGACTAAGTATTCTCATGATTCTAAGTGCCAGATTTAGGCACTCTGACTAAGCAGAAATAGGAGTCAATCTTGAATAAATCAAGGAGAAAAGAAAAGAAAATAGGAAAAATCATAACATTACCTCCTCTTTAAGACCATCATCCTGATGGCTAATTTAGAGATAAGTCCTTCCATCCACAAGCAGGTGGCTGATCTGTTGAACTAATAATGTTGAGCATAATCTTCTGTTCTCAGCCATTATGCTCCATACATAGAGTGGTGATAGACACTGTTGTTGCTGCCTTGTTTAGTGCACTGCTGTCTATTTCTGGCTCCATTGTTGATTGAGATTTGGCAAATTGTGACTCAGCAGGATGCTCTCTCATGCTGTTATTGCTCTTCACTGTATGTCTGATGCTGACAGGTATATCCAGCCGATTGTTGCATTGTTCATAGTTGTATATTGTATTGTCAGCATCTATATATTTCTTGTTGACCCATTGGTTTGATTCTGGGCTATAACCTTTTCAACTGACTAGATAGTCAATAGTTGTTTTCATGTCTCTGCCTCATGCCTTGACTTTTCAGTATTTGTGATTTAGAACTTCATTGATTTCATAATGTTCTTCATTGTTGATGAGTTCTGGTGGTGGTGGTGGCAGTTGTTCTTGGTTTGAAAAGGCAGGTGCAATATATGGGGTTAATAATGTCTTGTTGAAGATATTATGAACCTTCCATATTGCTGGTACTTGCAACTTATATACTGAGTTACCGATTTTTGCTGTGACTTTGAATGGTCCTGTTTATTTGTCTGCCAGTTTCTGTTTGGGATATAGGAGATGAAGATTTGTTATATCCAGCCAGACCTTGTTATTGACTGAATATTTGTGTGCTGGTCTGCAGTGTTTGTCATACTGTTTTTTCATTATTAAAGCAGCTTTGTCAAAAGCTGTCTTTGTTTCTTTATAGATTTTTGCTATTTCTTTGGAAAAATCCATAGAGACTAGTGTTATTGTGTGTTTTCATTTGCTTTGGGCAATGAGAGGATGTCGCTCATAGTTTATGAAGAATGGGGTTTTGCCTGTTGCAGAGTGAATCCTGTTGTTGTGTTGGAAGGCTGCCAAGACTAACTATTCTATCTAATTGTCTTACTGATAGTTGATGAAAAGTTGCAGGTACTTTTTGATTTCTTAATTCACCTGCTCCATCTGACTATCTGTCTGGAGGTGATATGCTGTTGAAGCATTTTGTTTGATGTTGAAGAGTTGGTACAAGTCATCTAAAAATTTAGAAATGAATTGTGGTCCTTTGTCTGAAATTACCACTTGAGGCATGCCATACTTTGCATAAACCTTATCTCATAGTATTTTTGCCCATCCTTCTGATGTTAATTCTGTTGAACAGATGATCAGAATGATTGCCTTCAAAAAGCAATTGACTATAACAATGATCACATTATAGCTGTCACTTTCAGGAAGTTCAGTTATTATATCCACCAAGATGTGAGTCCATAGTGATGAAGAGATCTCATTCAGATAGAGAGGAGCTGCTTGGAGTTGTGTTGAGGCTTTGCCACACTGATAAACCTTGCAAGCTTTGACATATCAGGTGATATCATGATCTATTTTGGGCTATTAATACTTCCACAAGACTAATTCCTTTGTTTTAGCAATCCCAGAGTGTCCAGCAGTCATGTGATTATGACATGTGGCAATGATATCACCATATAGCCCCTGATCCCTTGAGATGTAGATTTGTCCATCATAACAGATCAATCTCTCTTCTTTCTTTAGTCTCTGCTTGTGATTGAGTGATGAAGCTATTCTTTGATCTTATTTGTGGAGATTCTGGGTTGCACTCTTGATACATTCATGTACTTTCTCTTTGGTGGGCATGATCATTGCTCAGAAGTGTTCTGGTCATAAGAGTACAACTTCCTTGTTGTTGTCTCCTTCCTAGTCATAGTTGGCCCTTCAACTGAGAAAGTCAGCCTTCTTGTTTGCTGCATCAGCCTTATAATGTAGTATGTATTCATATTGGAATAATTCCATAACCCATCAGGCTTGTTGGCAATTAAGCTTTTATAGGAGTTGGAAATATCAGAGGTTCAGATGATCTGTCCAGATCTCAAAGGTCTGGACTGCTCCAATGAGATAATGCCACCACTCAGTGAGAGCAAGCATTATAGTGAGAAGTTCTTTGTCATAGATCTCATAATTGCACTCAGTGATAATGAGTGCTTTTGACAAAAAGGCGATAGGCCTCTATTTGCCATCCTGTTTCTGAGAGAGAACCATCTCTATGGTGCCCTCACTTGAGTCTGCCTCTACTCAAAACTTTCCATCCTGAGTGAGAATTGCCAGGATAATATTCTCAGCCAATTGGCATTTAAGATTGTCAAACACCAATTATTGTGATGGTCTCTAAGTCCATAGTGCATTTCTGGTTAATTGCATCATAGATCTGACTATTCTGCTATAGTCCTGGATGAACCACCAGTAGAAGTTGGTGAAACCAAGGAATGACTGTAGTTTTTTCTTTTTGGTCAGCTCCAGCCATTCAGTTACTCTCACCACTTTGATGATGAAGAGGATCTGAGCATGTGCAATGTGAAAACAGATACAGCAGAGCATTATCCACTGACCACACTCACACCAACACACACACAAAACTCTTAGTTTGTGGGAAGATTATAATGTGATAAAAGTAGCAATCAATAAATATAATTGTCTTCTTTAATAAGAT